AACCTTGAAGTCCTTAGACCCTTCACCTTAACCCTCCCAAACTCAACAATGTTGAAAAAAGACCCAGGGCATTTACTTCCTAAGTCAGGATGCTGTTTATGGGTCTTTCCACTCTGCCCTCCCTAGCATCCAAACATAGGCCCAGGAGCAGTCAGAATCAAGAAACAAAGCAGGGGACAGGTGCTTTCCCCCCACCGGCTGCCCTTTTCCCCAGGAGAAGCAGCAGCTTCAGAGATGGAGACAAGTGTTTGCGTGTGTGCTAGGCGGGCAGTGAGTACATGCCATGATTGCACACAACTCAGGTGGCATGGTTTCCTGTCACTCCCTCTGTGAACCATCTCCCTTGGCTGTCTTCTCCATCTAAATGTCCAAAAGTAGGCACAGCCCCCTCCACCCACAAGCACAGTCTCCTAAGGATGAATTCCTCAAATATGCCCACCCCACAGCCACCTCCCTGCTTTAAGCCACGCCCACTCAGGAGCTACAGACCATTCCAATAAGAACCCTGCTTAGGAGCCCCCCTTTGCTCCCCCTCCCCCCACACCCTGGCAACCTCACAACCCCCTCTGTGGTCCAGGTCATCCCTGCCCTCTCCCTACCAGCACTCTGGCACTGCACCATGGAGAGGGAGCTTGGAATCACAAGGACAAGGTCAAGTTTGCAGGTGGGTATATTGGTTTCCCTGGGCTAATGTAACAAATTACCACAAAATTGGTGGCTTAAAACAACAAAATTCATTGCCTCATAGTTTTGGAAGCCTGAAGTCCAAAATCAGTCTCCCCAGACCTAATTCCATGTGTTGACAGTCTTATGCTCTCCTTTAGGGCAAAATCCATTCCTTGAGTTTTCATGTAGCCACATCACTCCCACCTGTGCCTTCATCTTCACACAGCCCTCTCCTCTGTGTGACAACCTTCCTCTGCCCCCTCTCATAAGCACACTTGTGATGGTATTCAAGGCCTACCTAAGCAATCCAGGATAATCTCTCCAGCTCAAGATTCTTAACTCAGTCACATCTATAGAAACTTTATCATATAAAGTGACATTCACAGGTTCCAGAGATTGGGACTTGGAGTCTTTGTGGGCCACCAATCAGCCCACTGCACACAGCCTGTGGCATCATAGCAGTGTGTGGCTACTAACTTGCTCACAGCAGGATGGAGATTAGGAGTGCAGCAACTGGAGAGGATGGGAAGGGCACCTTGGCTACACCAGGAAGGACAGCACGGGGGAGAGTTAAACATGCATAGGAGACATCAGAAAGGGCCCAATCTCCACTTGCTACCACTGTCTGTAGCTGTCCCTGTGGAGGTGACAAGAGCCAATATGCCTTGCTGCTTCCTTCCAGGAGAGAAGGCAGTGTGATTAGGCCCGAGAGAACACAGGTCCTTTCCCAACAGGCATCTGATTGCCACTATTAATCACTCATGGGAACTTTATCCTCAGCGGTTTGCAGGCAGTAGATGGCTGGCCAGAACTCACCCAAATTAGAACCTTTCACTTCCTCTCTCTGCTGTGTTTTCTGCTGTGACAAATCAGTAGGGATGGATCATGGATCACTGACAATAACACTCTAGGTGTCAACTGTGAACCTAGGGCAGGCGGACTGTCCAGCAAATGCTGCCTTCCCTGTGGAAATATGGCCAAAAAGAGGGCATGGTGCTCTTTCCAGCAGGACACCACCACCCTGGCCACCGTGGCCTATGCTCTGGGGGTAGCTCCTATTTAGAGGCTAATTTTGAGGGTATGGGCCTAGACCTATGGCTTCAGTCATGTCCTGAGTGTCTCCTGAACCTCTAAAACACCAGAGTAGTAAGACTGCTGAGCTCTTTTCCAGCAGCCTCTGGGCCTCAGTCAACAAGCTTTGGAAGTGACAGCTGCAGAGAATGGCTTCTTAGAGCTACAGCCGCAGCCGCAGTACAGAATCTGTAATGAATTTTTTCATGGAGAATTTAACAGAGGAGTAGGACAATATACATTCACTCTAACATGAGATAGGATCCTCTTTCATCTTTGGCCGGCCAATCAGCCAGTGGCAGGAGAAACCCCAGGGAAAGATGAAAAAAGGGGGGTGACACAGGCCTGGTATGTTGGACCAGCCACACTGAAGCTGGCGCTCACTGGAGCAGCAAGATACAGCCTGTCACCCTCCCAGGCAAACCACCCTGAGCATGGGCCCTCACCCAGCTACCCAAGGAAAAGAGAGATGTGTCCAGGTTAAAAAAAGAAGGGGGGGCTCTTTTATGTTTAGTTCTTGGAAACTTAGTTCAAGAAAAAGACACCATGCCACAAGCATCAGACATCAGTTCACTGACAGTTCTCAAATGGAATCTCAGGTACTTCCAGTTCTATAATGTAATAGAACTGAGGGTTTGAGCAGCACATCAGTCTAAACACACACAAATGAATGGCTCTAGCCCCCTCTGAGAAGCACAGTTCAGCTCTTACCCAAACACACCTTGTAAGCTCCTGTTTGGGGACGTGTACTCAAGAGGAACCAGCTGCACAGCCCTCTTCTAAGCAAAGGCAGCCCAGCTTGGTTCTGTTGCTCTGAATTCTCAGGTTGCAGGCTCCCCAGGACTTTTATAAAGTAGTCTCTAAAGCCTGCATTATCAAGAACTCCCTCCTGCATTATCAAGACTTGCCCCACCTGCAGGTATTCCAAAGATAGGTCCCTACATTTTGAGTTTAGTTCCAGGAGTCTCCAGACAAAGCAGATTCAGAGAGCCAATGCCTCCCTCTGTCAATCTCCAGGTCTCCCAGCAGACTGCAGCAGAGAAAACCCACCTGAGAAGGGCATCAGGGCCGCCTGCTGACAGACCCGGGTCCTCACTAGGCAGTCAAACCCACTCACTGAGTTGAGCAAACACTCTAGATTAGGGACAGTCAGGTTTCAGAAGAAAAGCGTCACCTGCAATTTTGTGGCACCAGTTCTAGCTGGGATGGAAATGCCAAAGACCTCAGGCTCAGTATGACCGGGAAGTTAACTGTCCCTGTACCTCTCTGTATCGGGAGCTGAGCACCGTCCTGGCCCCAACACTGCCAACGTGATGGCATTATTTCAAGTGGTCTGTATCTGTGACCAGAAGAGCCACACCCCTACAAATGCATCTAGTTTGCAAAAGGAGTAACAAAAACTCAAGTATCAAGTTCCTAAGAAAGTGAATATTCCAAGCAAAATAAAATAGAGGAACCTTTTCTGTTTAAAAAAAGGTTGAGATTCCTTCGCTGGTATTTTTTTTTTTTTTTT